ATACCATCTGTATTAACTTGTTCCCCTGGTTACACCTGAGTCTGTCTTTAAAAAAAAACACCAACTTTGCCTGTAACCACTACAGATCTCATCTAACACAAGAGCAGTGAAAGGAGTGCATCTAGTTAAGCATTCCTGCTTCAAAAGTGCCCAGCAGCAGGTGCCTCACATGTGAAGGAAGAACTTAACCAACACTGCCTCAAGGCAGATGAGCTGTATATAAAGGGTCTCGAGGCACAAACCACTTGGTAACTGCAAATGTAAAGAAAACTACTTTTCCTTCTCTGACTTGACCTTCTATTGGTTATACTTTTATACCTTGCCCATTCACTAACCCTCTCAGACAGGTTTTGGGCTCCTGACAAGTGTCTCAAAGGAGGCAATTGTTCCCTGTGCTTTGTCCAAGTTGCCTCTGAAAATTAATTTTTTTATGGCTTTCCATAACAAAGTTTTACATTTAACCTTCTGAGCAGAAGGAGGACCCAGCAACAGCAAGTACAACGTGTCAATAACTTGAAAAAAAAAAAAATAGCAGAAAAACATATAAGCTGCCTGATTCACTGAGCTCGTTTGGAGTCACACCAGTACTCCTAAAACTCCATTGTGCCAGAGAGCTAAAGAGATAAGATGCTGAGAGACTTTAAGAAAGCACTATATGGAAGGAAACAGAATTAAACTCTACACACAATTAGTCTTCAATGAATCCCTGCACCAACTAGTTATGTACCAAATATCATTTCAAAGGAGTCACGGAAAAATAAGACTGAAGGACCAGGCACAACAGTGAAACTTTGTGTTTGGAGAGGGTAAGAAAGCAACAGAAAACAGAGCAATAAAAGAAAGGTGAGAGGAGGTAGGAGACACGCTCGTGATGAACTGGCCCAAATCAAAAATGCACGTGAATTTGCATTTTGCACACAGAAGACTGACAGCAAGCATCAGGCAGGATGAGCTGCGAAAGCAGAATTAATCAAAAAGGAAAGGATCAAAATTTTAGAGCAGGGAAAAGCAGTTCCTGTAACTTGAACTCATTAGTCATCAGCAAAGAAACGGTCAATATGAAGCAAGTGTGATACACAAGATAAGAAAGAGGAACAGAAATAAAAAAAACAAGTTTCCCTTCAAATGGAGAGTGAGGGCAAAAGCCCAGAAAAGCAACGATACTGGACCTGTTGGTCACCAACACAAGTGAACTAATCACAGACATTAAGAGTGAAGGCAGCCTGGGCTGCGGCCATCGTGCACTGGTGGAGTTTGCAGTTTGCCTGTCCAGATAGGGGACAGGCAAAGAGGAAAGTCCGGACCCTGAATTTTAGGAAAGCAAAATTCCTGCTGTTCAAGGAGTTAGTCAATGGGACTCCCTCACAAACGGCATTCAGGGACAAGGGAGGAGCTCAGAGCTGGCAGATCTTTACTTTCCATAGAGCCCAAGAGCTCTCGATCCCCATGTGTAAGAAATCAGGAAAGGAAGGAAAGAGATAGTCATGGATGAATCATGACCTGCAGGTCAAACTAAAGGGCAAGAAGGAAATGGAATGCCCAGGCAGTGGAAGCAGGGACAGATATCCTACAAAGAGTATAGGGACGTTGCCCAGTTGTACAGGGACGGGGTCAGGAGGGCCAAGGCAGAGCTGAAGCTGAACTTGGCAGAGGACACAACGATAAGAAGGGGTTCTACAGGTAGAACAGGGGGGTTCTACAGCCAGAAAAGGAAGGTCAAAGAAACCAACACACAACTGGCAAACTGGTAACAGTAGACAAGGAGAAGGCTGAGGTACTCAACAACTTTTTTGCCTCGGTCTTCACTGAAACCTCTCAAGTGGATGGACTGCAAGGCAGGGACTGGGGGAACAAAGTCCGTGTAACAGAACAGCTTTGAGATCACCTGAGGAACCTGAGCATACAGAAGTCTATGGGACCTGATAAGATGGATCCCAGAGCCCTGAGGGAACTGGCTGATGTAGCTGCCAAGCCACTCTTCATGAGATTTGAAAAGGCATGCCAGTCAGGTGAAGTCCCTGGTGACTGGAAAAAGGGAGACATTGCACCCTTTTTAAAAAGGGTAGAAAGGAGCACCCTGGGACCTACCAACCTGTCAGCCTCACCTCTGTGCCTGAGAAGATCATGGAACAGATACTTCTAGAAGCTATCCTAAGGCACATGGAGAATAGGGAGGTGATTCGCAATAGCCAACATGACTTCACCATGGGCACATCTTGCCTGACCAACCTAGTGGCCTTCTATGAGGAGTGACTACGTAAGTGGACAAGGGAAGAACTACTGATGTCATCTATCTGGACTGTCCCCCACAACATCCTTCTCTCTAAATTGGAGAAATATGGATTTGATGGATGGGCTGTTTGGTGGACGAGGGATTGGCTGGATGGTCACAACCAGAGGGTAGTAGTGAATGGCTCAATGTCCAGATCGAGATCAGTGACAAGCAGGGTCCCTCAGGGGTCTGTAATGGGACCAATAGTGTTTAATATCTTAATCAGTGACATCGACAGTGGGATTAAGTGCACCCTCAGCAAGTTTGCAGACACCACCAAGCTGAGTGGTGTGGCTGACACACCTGGGGGATGGGATGCCATCCAGAGGCACCTGGGCAAGCTGGAGAAGCAGGCCCATGTGAACCTCATCAGGTTCAAGGTCCTGCACCTGGTTCAGGACCACCCCCCTGTACCAGTACAGGCTGAGGGGGGAAGGGATTGAGTGTAGCCCCACTGAGAAGGACTTGGGGGTACTGGTGGATGAAAAACTGGATGTGAGCTGACAATGTGTGCTCACAGCTCAGAAAGTATGGAGTGCACCCTCAGCAAGTTTGCAGACACCACCAAGCTGAGTGGTGTGGCTGACACACCTGGGGGATGGGATGCCATCCAGAGGCACCTGGGCAAGCTGGAGAAGCAGGCCCATGTGAACCTCATCAGGTTCAAGGTCCTGCACCTGGTTCAGGACCACCCCCCTGTACCAGTACAGGCTGAGGGGGGAAGGGATTGAGTGTAGCCCCACTGAGAAGGACTTGGGGGTACTGGTGGATGAAAAACTGGATGTGAGCTGACAATGTGTGCTCACAGCTCAGAAAGCATGGCCAGGTCCAGGGAGGTGATTCCTGCCCCTCTTCTCCACTCTGGTGAGACCCCATCTGGAGCACTGTGTCCAGTTCTGGAGCCCTCAGCACAGGAAAGCACCTGTTGGAGCCGGTCCAGAAGAGGGCCCCAAAAATGACCGAAGGGATGGAGCACCTCTCCTATGGGGACAGGCTGAGAGAGTTGGGGTTGTTCAGCCTGGAGAAGAGAAGGTGCCAGGGAGAGCCTTCAATCCTTAAAGGGGGCCTACAGGAAAGATGGGGACAAACTTTCTAGTAAGGTCTGTTGCAACAGGACAAGGGGTAATGGTTTTAAACTGAAAAAGGGAAGATTTAGACTAGATAGAAGGAAGAAATTCTTTACAATGGGAGTGGTGAAACACTGCACCAGGTTTCCCAGAGAGGTGGTAGGTGCCCCTCCTTGGAAACATTCAAGGTCAGGTTGGACAGTGCTCTCAGCTCCTTGCAGGAAGGTTGGACTAGATGACTTTTAAAGGTCTCTTCCAACCCAAACTACTCTATGATTCTATGACTCCTCCCTCCCTAATCCCTGGCACAAACTTAGCAACTCAACTGCAAATATGCAGCTCTAACAGCTCTTTTTAACCCAAACTCTCATTTAAGGTCTACTCAGCCCAAAGACACTCTTAAAAGGGAAACACACCATGGCATATATTTGCAGATCAGAAGAAACAGTTGTGGGGGCTGTGTCCAACCCAGTGAGAACAACAGCATGCCCTAAGTATTGTTGCTCACATGCCAAGGCTCAAGACCTTCAAGGACCTTTTGCTGTGTTACTCATTTGTGCAAGTCAGCCTGTTCCCAGGATCAAACCAGGGCTAGGTATTGTTCCTGGAAGGCAGGATATAGCCACCTGTCTTAGCAGGACAGCCCATACTAAACCAGACTAGCTTTCCTCATGACCCATAATTCCAGCTCCGAAAGGTGACTTCTTTGCGAGGTCAGATGGAGACAGTGTCCTAACGACCATACACCTGTCGTCCAACTTCCTGCACGTGAAGACATCATTAGGAAATCATCAGTCACCCCCTCTGCCATCCCAGCCGCTCGTCACCTACCTGCACTGTGTGCATGCTATTAGTGCTCTGAAGAAACTCGCCTTCCTCCCCAGCTCTAACATCACCGCAGTCCTCCAGCAAGCGCACCCTCATGCCGCGCACCAGGTTTGCCTGCAAGTACTCCACGTAGCCACTGCGGTCTGCGAAGTCCGACGGGGTGAGGAAGACACGACCCTGCTTTCTGTGAGGACCTTGATTTGAAGCGAGCACGGGCATTTGGGCTGTAGGGCAGGCAGGGGTCTTGTGCTGGAAGATGGAGTGTGGGGCGCGAGGCCGCAGCTCCCCTCGGGGCGGCAGCTCTGCCTTGGGGCTGTGGTCCCAGCCCATCACGTGCGCCAGCTCCAAGATGAGGTTGGCCATCGCCATGCTGAACTCAAACTCCTGCTTCGCACGGCTCCTCTCCTCGGCCAGCAGGTTGGGCACGGCGCAGTCCTGCTGCTCCCCTCCCGGCTCCACACCACTGCAGAGCTTGTCCATGAGAGAAGTGACACACAGGTAGTGCTTCACCAGGACGAACAGGAGCTTCCCAGGGATCTGCAACGAGCACGGCTGTCAGGCTCTAGCCTGCAGAGCACCTCCAGCCACCAGCTCATCCACAGTCAGGCTCCTGTGATACCTTCAGGCAGCAGCAGACACCTCTCAGCCCACTCTTGCCTCCCTGCTCAGAGACAAGGCTCTCCATGTGCTTCTCCACCACCCCCCAGCCTCAAGCCACATCCAGATCCTCTGCCAGCTCTCCCAATACCCAGTCCTGCTCAGCTGCCCGCTGCCCTCCTGTCCCAAACAAGGCACACCAGCTTTGGCACCCCACTCTCACCCCTCCTGACCCCTAAAGCCCACAGCTGCTACCTGGGGAAGGTGAATCCCCTCAAAGGACATGCAGTGCTCTTCAGAAGACATCATCTCAGCAAACAGCTCCAGCAAGGTGTAGCGACCGTCGAAGTCTACGTGCTGCTCAATGCCATCCTGCTGGCTCAGGGACAGCAGGACATAGGCCCGGCTTCCTGCAAAAATAACAGAAACCCATCAGGCGCCCTAGAGATAACCCTCACCCCACCCTCCCTGTGCCAGACAGACTTGCAGACTTGAGCTTTGCTGCTGGGAGTCACCTAGAACCGTGTTCTGTCCTTTAATCTGGATTGGCAACAATTTGCTCCACTGAGTAACACTGCATTATTTCCACCCCCAAAGCTGCAAGATTCCCCCAAAGCAGCAACCCCAAATAACTGACTCCCGAAGATGGTTCCAGGGAAGAAAAAACTTAAATTTTAACCTGAACCAGCCCTGTATCTGCCCCACTGGAGAGCCACATGAACTTGGGCACTAGGACAGGGAAAGCTAGATCTCTTGTGGGGCGCACCATCATTAACAACCTTCCCAGGGCACTCAAGCCTCATGAGGCACTTAAAACCCATGGCAGCTCCTCTTAAATGAGGACCAGGCCTCTGCCCACCAGGGGCTGAGGAAAAGCTCCATGCCAAGAATAGGCCAGAGGCTTTCCAACGGACAGCATGCAGCAGAGGCACCCCTGGCATAAATTCTCCTAACAGTTAATCAGCATCGCAGCTCAGGAACCCGCCGGGGGAAAGAGCTCCCAAGTCTTAGAGCACTCCAGACAACTACCACCAAGGAACTGCTTGGAAGCTCCAGTCTCGTTCTACCCCTTTTGCCAACAAGACCCAGGACACACCGCTTCCCAGGCATCCCACACCTACAAGAGGACTGGCACCCCTCAGCTGCACCTCCTCAGCAGCACTGAGCAGTAGCAGCCCCCACCTGCATCATGCGAAGCCAGGGCCCTCAGCATCTTGCCGGCGCTGCGGCGGATTTGCTTCTCCTTGTGGCACAGCATCTTCATCAGCAAGTCCAGGGCTCCCGTCTCCTTGAAGGCACCTGCCAACAAGCCAATGCTGGCGTAGGCGCTCAGCACGTGGATGGTGTTGAGGATGGAGGACTCGGGAGCCCCAGTCTCGGCCATCTGCCGGCCAGCTCGCTGCACCAGGCTCCTGACATCAGCCTTCATCTCCAGCAGCGAGGCTTCATCCAGCGGCACAGCCAACGGGCTGGCTGCCTTCTCCTCCTTCACCCACTGCCCTTCCAGCTTCCTCTTGCCCAGCAGCGCCGGGCAGCTGGCACAGACCTCTTCTGCCGACATCCACATCGAGATGTTCTCCGGCTTGGTCTCTGCAGAGGAGGCACTGCTGCTTCCCACTGTCTTCTCTTCCAAGCTGACGATACTCCACTGGATAAGGTACTCAGGCTGGCCGTCGTGGCCTCGCCGCTGCCGGAGCAGCTCCTCCGGGTAGGCCTGGAGTTTGGGTCCCAGGTGCACGAGCAGGTTGCCATTATGCCTCTTGTTCACCATGACAGGAAATGCACCTGCAGAGACAGAGGCAAAGCAGAGACAAACTTGTATTTCCAAGACGCATATCAGGGAAAGCTTGAGCAAGCACCTCAACAGAACCATCTGAAGAAAACCCCATTTTGCAGAAGCTCACATCTCCCCTCCAACTGGTCAAGGGGTCAGGAGCGCAAGTAGTGTTCTCCTCTGTCATCCCAGTCACAGGGAAGGATGAGGGAAGTAACAAGAAGAGCCAGCAGATCAACACATGGCTCCAAGCTTGGTGTCAGAGGCACAGCTTTGGGTGTTTCAAGCACAGGAAGGTTTACATGACACCAGGCCTACTGGAGACAGATGGGGTACACCTGACTCCAAAGGGGAAGAAGGTCTTCACGCAGGGGTTGGCAGGGCTCATCAAATGGTCTTTAAACTAAGTTTGAAGGGGGAATGGGGAGAATCCATCAGCAGAGATGCAAGGGTCATCGATGGGCTCGAAACTATGGCTGTGCCTAGGAATGGTCAGGTTAGACCTTCCTACACCAAAAAGGTGGTGTGACTGGTAGCCCAGCTGAAGTGCTTTTACACTAATGCACACAGTATGGGCAACAGACAGGAGGGACTGGAAGCCATTGTGCAGCAGGAAAGCTATGATGTAGTCACCATCAGAAATGTGGTGGGATGACTCGCATGACTGGAATGCTGCATCAGAGAGTGGTGGTGAATGAAGCTGAATCCAGTTGGCAGCCAGTCATGAGTGGTGTCCCACAGGGCTGGATACTGAGACCTGTTCTCTTTAATATCTTTATCAATGATCTGGAGGAAGGGATCAAGTGCACCCTCAGTCAGTTTACAGACAACACCAAGCTGGGTGGCAGTGTCGACCTGCTGGAGGGTAGAGAGGCTTTGTAAAGGGACCTGGACAGGCTGGATGGATGGGCTGAGACCAACAGGATGAGGTTCAACAAGGCCAAGTGCCGGGTCCTGCCCTTGGGTCACACCAACCCCCTGCAGCGCTCCAGGCTGGGGGCAGAGTGGCTGGAGCTGCCTGGCAGAAAAGGACCTGGGGGTGTTGGTTGACTGTGGGCTGAACAGGAGCCAGCAGTGTGCCCAGGTGGCCAAGAAGGCCACCAGCATCCTGGCCTGGGTCAGGAACAGCGTGGGGAGTAGGACTCAGGAGGGGATCGTCCCCCTGTCCTGGGCACTGGTGAGGCCCCACCTTGAGGGCTGTGTCCAGTTTTGGGACCTTCACCACAAAAAAGACATTGAGGGGCTGGAGCAGGTCCAGAGAAGGGCAACGGAGCTGGTGAGGGGTCTGGAGCACAAGTCTTGTGAGGAGAGGCTGAGGGAGCTGGGGGTGTTCAGCCTGGAGAAGAGGAGGCTGAGGGGAGACCTTCTCGCTCTCTACAACTCCCTGAAAGGAGGGTGTAGCCAGGGGGGGCTGGACTCTTCTTCCAAGGAACAGGCAACAGGATAAGAGGAAATGGCCTCAAGTTGCACCAGGGAAGGTTCAGATTGGATATTAGGAAAAATTTTTACACTTAAGATGTTTATTAAGGCTTGGAATGGGCTGCCCAGGGAAGGGGTTGAGGCACCATCCCTGGAGGTGTTCAAAAGATGCGTAGAGATAGTGCTTAGTGACATGGTTTAGTGATGGTTTTAATCAGAGTTAGGTTGATGGTTGGACTTGATGATCTCAAAGGTCCCTTCCAACCTAGACAATCCTATGACTCTATGATCCTGTGCAAATTGCTGCTTTTACAGTTCTCTTTTCCCTCTTGTTATTTACCACTTAGATCTGTTTAGACTGCAAGTTTACTTAGAGCTCAAGGCTTCAGGCAGACACTGCCTCTCACTCTGGTGCCAGACCTAGCTTGAGTCACCAGGCCTTGAAGAAAATAAGCAGCAATTTCTCAGATCACGTTCATATACATCAAATTAGATCATTAGCTAAAAGCCACTCAGTATTTCCTCCTTGGCCTCCTCTCAGATATTCTTTGCCTTTACAATGTGTAGTGAACAGGCAAATTCAACAAAATGAGGAGATTGCTACTCTCTGCTGCCTGATTGTTCTGTGTATCTTAGGGCTACAAAGAAGCAGCCATGACACTTCTCTGCTTTCATTTATCACAGAATCACAGAATATTCATGGTTGGAAGGGACCTCTGAGATCAGTTATGCAAAGAGAAGCACAAAATAATTTGCCATCTAAGACTGAGTGCCAGCAATCAGCTGGCCAACCGTAGACAGTACCGCAAACAAGGGACTGACTTCACTACTACAAAGGATGCCAGATCAGAGTCTGATAAGAAGGTTCTCAGAGGAGCTCAGACATGAGAAGAGGCCCCCTTGGCACTTACACGTACTAGCAAGAGAAGCAGTGAAGTGACATGCTGTTCAGCTGATGGTGCCACAAGTTGTCCTTAAAAATTAAGTTAAACATACATAGGAAACAATCAACCTACGTACAGCCAAAGAAGATACTGACCATCAAAAATAATGAAAAGCACATAAAAGATGTTTCCCAGGTGCAGAGAGAAGCCTAAACTCCCAAGAAATTTATACCTACCCTCAGTTGTGCCTTTCTTGAAGTCTGAAGCAAGCCAGCTGGGAATCTTCACAGGCTCTCTGTAATAAAAACACCAAGTTACTCTCCTGTGCTTTGTAACAGTGTTTAGATGCCATATCATAAGCCAAATAATTGTTTTCCCTAACTGCTTGTACAGTGCACAAAAAAAACCCCTATGCCAAGAGGTTTATATAAAATAAAAATCAGTAAAACAGAAGTCTCTGTGAAACATTATTTTGTTTAATAACTTTCACCCCATCCCTATATCATGGCATTTAGCATGAAAAGAACTCTTCAGAGTTATCAGAAGGGGCCCAAAAGGCTGTGTAGCTAGGTAGGGGAGAGAGTGGATTTAGGGCATCTGAAGTGAAGAAGTAGCTGCAATGCGTATGACGAGTGAGGTACACTACAGCCTATTGACAACCCACAGCTAAATTGTTAGACTGCTTAAACAGAATCATAGAATGGTTAGGGTTGGAAGAGACCTCAAAGATCATCGAGTTCCAACCCCCCTGCCCTGGGCAGGGACACCTCCCACCAGACCAGGTTGCTCAAAGCCCCATCCAGCCTGGCCTTGAACCCCTCCAGGGATGGGGCAGCCACAGCTTCTCTGGGCAACCTGGGCCATGTCTCACCACCCTCATAATGAAAAATTTCTTCCTCTTGGAGCACCTCTGCTGTGAGGACAGGCTGAGAGAGCTGGGGTTGTTCAGCCTGGAGAAGAGAAGGCTCCAGGGAGACCTTCGAGCAGCCTTCCAAGATCTGAAGGGAGCTCCAGGAGAGCTGGGGAGGGACTCTTTGTCAGGAAGTGCAGTGACTGGACAAGGGGGAACAGTTTTAAATTGGAAGAGGGGAGATTTAGATGAGATACCAGAAAGAAATTCTTTGCTGTGAGGGTGGTGAGACACTGGAAGAGGTTGCCCAGAGAAGCTGTGGCTGCCCCATCCCTGGAGGGGTTCAAGGCCAGGCTGGATGGGGCTTGGAGCAACCTGGTCTGGTGGGAGGTGTCCCTGCCCAGGGCAGGGGGGCTGGAACTGGATGATCTTTGAGGTCCCTTCCAACTCTAACCATTCTATGATTCCTGACATCTAATCTAAATCTCCCCTCTTCCTGTTTGAAGCCATAGGCCCTCGTCCTATTTACTGTGTTAATATATTAAACGCAGGCACTACCACAGTTAAGTTTCAGAGTTGTGGCAAACGGAAATGCCATAAAGCGCCAGGACGCTCAGTTCAGAGGCCAGGCCCGGCCCAGGCCGGCAGCGCATCCCCCCTCAACCCACCGCAGCGCCGGGGGGACAGGCCCTCAGGCCGGCCTGCCCGCCCATGGAAACGAGCAGGGACGCTAAAAACCATCTGCCTCGCCGATGGCCGCAGCGGAAACGACGGGTTCTCTTCCGGGCCGTTCCTAGGCAAGCCCCGCTCCACCTCCCGGCCTCCTCCAACACCGCTGTCCCCCCTCTCCCACCCGGCCCCGGGAGCCGCAGCGAGGCGGGGGAGAGAACGGGGCCTGGCCCCGCTACACGGGGAGGCGGCTCCTCCCTTCACCCCCCACGCCCGATACGGGGTGAGGGGGGCACAAGGAGGCGCCCGCTTACGCATCGTTCCTCGGGAGGCTCCGTCCCTACCTGGCACCGCTCCAGTCCTCCGGCACGGAGCGATGACGGGACCGGGGCTGAGACCGGCGGCCTCCGCCACCTACCGCCGCCGCCGCCGCGCTTCCGGGTCTCTGCCACGCACGGGGCGCGCGGGCGACGCCCGCTACGGGTGTCGGGGAGGGCCAGTAGAGTGCGGGGGCGGGCGGGCGCGGCCGGTTGAGGGGTGTCCCTGGGCCGGTGACCCCTCCTTTCCCCTGCGGCCGGCTCTGGGGGTGTAGGGATAGGAAAAAAAAAAGTGAAAAATCAGAATTTCTTGTGGTTGCGTCCAGTTCTGGGCTCCGCAGTTCCAGAAGGACAGGGAATTGCTGGAGAGGGGACAGCAGAGGGCTACAGAGATGATGGGGGGCCTGGAGCATCTCCCTTAGGAGGAGAGGCTGAGGGACTTGGGGCTTTTTAGTCTGGAGAAGAGAAGGCTGAGGGGGGATCTGATCAATGCCTATAAATACCTAAAGGGAGTGTATCAGGAGGACAGGGATGGTCTTTTTTCAGTGGTGCCCAGGGACAGGACAAGAGGAAATGGGCACCAACTTGAACAGAAGTTCCACCTAAAGATGAGGAGGAGCTTCTTCACTTTGAGGGTGGCAGAGCCCTGGCAGAGGCTGCCCAGGGAGGTGGTGGAGTCTCCTTCTCTGGAGACATTCAAACCCCACCTGGACATGTTCCTGTGCAACCTGCTCTGGGTGGACCTGCTCTGGCAGGGGGTTGGACTGGATGATCTCCAGAGGTCCCTTCCAACCCCATGTGATTCTGTGATCCATGCTGCTGGGTCAATGGTATGCCAGCTAAAAACGCAACTGCTAGCCTCTACACAGCATCAGGTCCTGGAGCAGATACCAGTATAGGATACGGAAAGTTTAGCACTGGTCAAAGTCTGTGTGGTGGAGGGACCGCTCTCTGCCTCACAGTGCAATTTGAAGAAACCTGGCAGGGGGGGTTGGACTATGTGAGAAATGGGCTGAGTTTTGCTTCAGCTAATTGATATATTTTTGTTAGTGTGTCTGTATTGACGGAGGAAGCTCAGTGATAATGGAGTACCCATTGTACTGAACTAATCCTTAGAAATGCCCTGGGCCTGTCCAGGGATCCTGGTTTACGGGAAGTTGTCTATTTGAAGAGAGCCAGGCTGATGGCAGACTGATAAGTGGACAAAGGACTGTGAAGGCTGACTGAAGGCTGACTAAAGACTGTGAAGACTGATAAGTGGATGAAGGTCATCTAGAGGGTGACTGATGAAGATGAGGATATGACCACCAGGGTGCTTGTAACTACTTACACTGAACAGTATGTGGGAAATGAGCGAATTGATACATTCTTATTAGTGTGTCAGTACTAACAAAGAAGCCTTAGTAGTAGTAATAAAGTCTAATAAATTGTATCCAATTAATCCCCAGAAATGCCCTTGGTCTGTCAAGGGATCCGTGTTCGCAGAGCGTTATCTAGGTGAAGAGAAACAGACTGGAACACGGCCTTCCACACAGGAACCCAGAGGGTAGGGGAGTATCGATAAGGCCAAAGAAACCAGCCTTGGACAGTAAATCTGCCAAGTGGATGGTAGCAAAGATTCTGAAATAACATGTAGCGTAATCAACTAATCAAAGGCGTGTTTAGGATAATGATTTCGTAGAATAGGTGTGTGCGTGCCTTACATGCGAAAAAGGTGCAAACTAAACTCGTAATAGGTCAAGCGGTCGGGAAGAATGTGAGCTCCAACTTCTCAGCCAACGAGAAGAGAGACAGAAACCCAGGCGGCCGGGATGAGGGTATAAAATACCTGAAAGCTGAAAGATCAACGTGCATCTACTTTTGGTGCACCCAATTCAGCGCTGTTTCATATTAATAAATTTTTTTAACCTTTGCTTCGGTGACTTTGTCCTCTTTAAATTCTACGATGTGAGTTGGTGTTTCTCACAGTAGATTGATAGGAAAGACTGTGAAATAACTTGTAGCATAGTACTGAACTAATCCTTAGAAATGCCCTGGGCCTGTCCAGGGATCCTGGTTTACAGGAAGTTGTCTAGGTGAAGAGAGCCAGGCTGATGGCAGACTGATAAGTGGACAAAGGACTGTGAAGGCTGACTGAAGGCTGACTAAAGACTGTGAAGACTGATAAGTGGATGAAGGTCATCTAGAGGGTGACTGATGAAGATGAGGATATGACCACCAGGGTGCTTGTAACTACTTACACTGAACAGTATGTGGGAAATGAGCGAATTGATACATTCTTATTAGTGTGTCAGTACTAACAAAGAAGCCTTAGTAGTAGTAATAAAGTCTAATAAATTGTATCCAATTAATCCCCAGAAATGCCCTTGGTCTGTCAAGGGATCCGTGTTCGCAGAGCGTTATCTAGGTGAAGAGAAACAGACTGGAACACGGCCTTCCACACAGGAACCCAGAGGGTAGGGGAGTATCGATAAGGCCAAAGAAACCAGCCTTGGACAGTAAATCTGCCAAGTGGATGGTAGCAAAGATTCTGAAATAACATGTAGCGTAATCAACTAATCAAAGGCGTGTTTAGGATAATGATTTCGTAGAATAGGTGTGTGCGTGCCTTACATGCGAAAAAGGTGCAAACTAAACTCGTAATAGGTCAAGCGGTCGGGAAGAATGTGAGCTCCAACTTCTCAGCCAACGAGAAGAGAGACAGAAACCCAGGCGGCCGGGATGAGGGTATAAAATACCTGAAAGCTGAAAGATCAACGTGCATCTACTTTTGGTGCACCCAATTCAGCGCTGTTTCATATTAATAAATTTTTTTAACCTTTGCTTCGGTGACTTTGTCCTCTTTAAATTCTACGATGTGAGTTGGTGTTTCTCACAGTAGATTGATAGGAAAGACTGTGAAATAACTTGTAGCATAATCAAATAATCAAAGGTGTGTTTAGGATAATGATTTTGTAGAGTAGGTGTGTGTGCCTTATAAGGTAAAAAGGTGTGAACTAGATCTGCAATAGGTCAGGCAGTTGGGAAGAAGAATGTGAGCTCCAACTTCTCAGCCAACGAGAAGAGAGACAGTAACTCAGGCGGCCGGGATAAGAAGTATAAAATATCTAAAAGCTAAAAGATCAGTGTGCCTCTGCTTTGAGATGCACCCGATTCAGTGCTGTTTCGTACAATAAATTTTTTATACCTTTGCCTCAGTGATAAAATATCTAAAAGCTAAAAGATCAGCGTGCCTCTGCTTTGAGATGCACCCGATTCAGCGCTGTTTCGTACAATACATTTTTTATACCTTTGCCTCAGCAACTTTGTCTTCTTTAAATTCTAAGTGTGAGCTGGTGTTTCTCGCAGACTAGATGATCTCCAGAGGTCCCTTCCAACCCCGTATCATTATTCTGTGATTCTGGTTTGGGGCTGTAGGACTGCCCTAGTCTCAGTGTTGCTAGAGAGGCAACTGGTGCCAGCTGCACCCAAATCTGGCCCATTTCTGGTTCCTTTCCTGCTTTGGTGTTACGCTGATCTGTAATGCTCACACCATAAAATCTAAATTCCTATCCTCTGCCCATGTTTCCCTCCCTTGACAATCTTTAACAGCCACCAGCTACAATCCGGTAGGTGCAGGTTTCTATCAGTCTGTTAACATTTGTTTTAAATTATAAACAAACATTAAAATCACAGGCTAAACAGATGAGAAGCCGGTTTCTTATCTGATCGTGGAGCAACTCGTGGAGTTGATCGTGGAGTATGTGCTCAATTTAATTTCCACCCTCAGTATCAGTGCAGCTGATTAGACAATTTCCATGTTTTATAATAGCAATCAGCAATTAATACGACCATATAATTGCAATTAACCATAGGCTGGATAAATCAGTGTGGTGCTGCATCCGTCTGCGAGGACCACCCTCTAAAGCTGTGGCACCAATGGTGGACTGTAAATGTTTGTTTTTTCAAGGCAGCTTCTTGATTTCCCCATTGCTACGTGTAACCCCTGTTGATGCTCTCTTTCCAGAATCCCACGGATGCTCTGGAAACCTCCGTGTTTTCCATTAACAGCATCTTCCTTCCCTGTTAACGCCCAAGGCATCGTTAAAATTTAGAGGACCAAACTGGTTATTTAGTTAACATCATGCCTTGCCTTTACAAGTCCCTTCATCTCTTGTAGAGATAAACACGGCATATTTGCACCAGTGAAGTGGAAAATAACTTCCTAAATGCCGCTCAACTACATAAAAGCTGATTACCACGAGCACGACGATTGCTCTGTTCCTCTGTTCTCGGCGACTGTTATTTTGTGCAGGTGCTGCACCTGCAGCACGGCTGTGTTTAATGTCACAGACACGAGGTGGTGATAATGGTCTGCAGCAGGAAACGCGCCCTGGCTGGTGACATCGGCTGGTGACATCGGCTGGCAACAGCCCACAGCCAAAATTGTCACCAACAATAAATGGCAGTGGCCGGGTAGGACACAGGCATTTTGTTTGTGACGCTGAAATGTTTCCTGTGGTATTCACAGGGCTCCGCTTATGTCTTGGCTCTGATGGTTCTTGATGCCACGCTTAGTCATTTATCCTAAAAATAAAGATTATGCCTGGTCTATCTTACTCCATGTTAGGAGTTTTGTATGTCCTACACAGACCCCTGAGCACAAGTAGCATGGGGTCACTCGTGCCGATACGGGGGTTGTGACGCTGAACCACGAGACGTCTCTGCGCAAACGGCTTGTTGAACGTGGGGGTGGCTGTGGTGTAACCCACAAAGGTGAAGCACCTGCCCTCCTGGTGGGGAAAGGGCCGTTTCAGCTGTGTTTGGCTCCTAAGCACTGTACAGAACTTCTGTACAGTGTTCTGAGAGGAAGAGAGCAGTCCCTCCACTGCACAGACTTTGACCAGTGCTAAACTTGCCGTATCCTATATTGGTATCTGCTCCAGGACCTGATGCTGTGTAGAGGCTAGCAGTTGCATTTTTAGCTGGCATACCATTGACCCAGCAGCACAGATCACAGAATCACATGGTGTTGGAAGGGACCTCTGGAGATCATCTAGTCCAACCCCCTGCCAGAGCAGGTCCACCCAGTGCACGTTGCACAAGAACGTGTCCAGGTGGGGTTTGAATGTCTCCAGAGGAGACATCTTCATGCCCCCTCCTCTGGTCCCGTTCCAACAGGTCCATGTCCTTCCTGTGTTGAGGACTCCAGAGCTGGACACAGTACTCCAGGTGAGGTCAAATCGTTTCATAGTAGACTAGAATCCCCTGCTGGCCACACTTCTCTTGATGCAGCCCAGGATGGGGTTGGCTTTCTGGGCTGCCAGTGCGCACTACTGGCTCATGGTGGCCTTCTCATCCACCAACACCCCCAAATCCTTCTCCTCAGGGCTGCTCTCCAGCCATTCTCTGCCCAACCTGTACTTGTGCCTGGGATTGCCACGTCCCAGGTGCAGGACCCTGCACTTGGCTTGGCTGAACTTCATGAGATATGCACGAGCCCACCTCCCCAGCCTGTCCAGGTCCCTCTGGATGGCATCCCTTCCCTCCAGCTTGTCAACCGCGCCACACAGCTTGGTGTCGTTGGCAAACTTGCTGAGGGTGCGCTCTATCCCACTGTCCATGTCTCCAACAAAGATGTTGAACAGCACTGGTCCCAGTACTGACCCCTGAAGAACACCACTCATCATTGGTTTCCACTTGGCCATTGAGCCGTTGACCTCAACTTTTTGAGTGTGGCCATCCAGCCAGTTCCTGATCCATCCATCAAATCCATGCCTTTCCAATTTAGAGACCAGGATGTCATGCAGGACAAGTGTCAAAGGCTTTGCGTAAGTCTCACCTGTGCAGGGGGCAGTGGGGATTGGAGACTTCTGCAAAGACTCCCCTCTTTGCCATATCATGCCCAGACAGCTCCCCCTTCCCCCCTGCCAGTACACACAAGGACACAGGAATCTGCCTCTGATCCCCATTCATTGGCTCTAAGGTGTGTGTCGTCCCCTCCCGCAAAGCACGGCCAAAATCCCAAATCTGTGCACAAAATGATAACATTTATTGAAAGAGTAATTTTTTTTTTTTTTTTTTAATACAAAAGAAAGCTCTGTACATAGTACTGTGATTACTTCCACATCCTTCCAGAAACACAACCCTGGAAACTGGAGGGAAAAAAAAAATAATAAAAAAAAAAATAATCCCACACACACTTATGCGTACACACGCGCACACACGCACGCGCACACACACACACACACACAACCCTCAAACCGGTAAAATGAACTAAAAATGTCACCACACAATAAATGCCATTTCATCCCTGATACACAAAGTGTTCTTACAAGTCTGCACTTAAATAAAATACACCATTAGCGTTTAACCAGCAGTTGCCTTCGGGGAAGCCAGGGAGGGGATGCAGACCCCCCCTTGTAGCAGCAGCAGGGGTGCTCCTGCCGCCCCGGGGCCACACGGCTCCGCTCCACCCTGCCTAGCACAAGCAAAGCGGAGCGAAGCCAGGCCGCAGTGATGTGCTGGGGGGAAAAAGGATAACACAGACCCCCAACCCCATCCTTCCTCCCTGGAAGAACTCCTAGATTCCCAGCCTTGTTTTTTGGAAGCATCGCTGAGCAGCTTTTCACATCCCCGGTGAGGGAAGGGGGGGGCATAACAGGGCACAGCACTCCCCCGTGCTCCGAGCTGCGGGGTTACGCACGGCTCTCGGAGCAAGGATACTCTGGGGAACTTCACTCTCACCAGATGGGCCACCCCGACTCCCCACCAGCCCTTGCCCAGGCTCCGTAACAGACCAAGGGCTGAAAGAAGGTTGTGGGAGGTCTTTACGCAGGGAGGGGGGGCTGGAGGGGACCTGTCCTGTCCACATCTGTGCACTAAGGAACGGCCGTAAGAGGGGAAACTACAGCCCAGATCATCAGCCAGGAGTCTGGGAGATGCTACCCACCCAGGAAAGCAAGGATCAGCCACTGCTAGCCACTCGCCACCCAGGGAGGAGTGGGGACACCCATATCCCTTAGGCACAGGCGGCACTGCTCCGCACCAAAAGTAGTGATAGAAATCCCGACAAGTCCCAGGATCAGAGGTGAACAGGGCAGCCATCAGAAAACCCAGCCCACCTCTGGTTCCCGGACACGCTGCAAACCCCCTTGCTCCTGAGAGATGGGTTTCCCACTTCTCTAGAGCACAGCCACTGCTTTCACTTGCCTTCTGCCCAGTTAAGCCCAAAATGATGGGTATGGAGTCCTCAGTACAGGTAGTGGGAAACAAGCAGCCCACTCGGTTCAGCTTGATCCCTGGCACATGCTGGTGGGTGGAGAGCGCAGCTTAAACGCTAATGCTGAGGGAACATGTCCAAGGTTACAATACAAACTCAAAAGCAAGGCCCCTTTTCCTGCCTCCATGCCCACCCACCCCTCTCCCATCCCCCTGGTACAAACCCCATGAAAACTGTACAGGAGCCAAACTTTTATTCCTTAAAGAATTACATAAATACTGAGTTTAACACTTAGAAAAATAAAGTCATTTTCTTTTTTTTTTTCTTAGTTTTCACAGAAAATAACAAGGGACTGAAGTTCCACAACAAATGAAGCCACTGCAAATTCTGATTACTGTGGTCCTTTTTTTTTTTTTTTTTTTTTTTTTTTCCCAAGCTTTTTTTTTTTTTAAACTAAAAAAAAAAAAAAAAAAAAAAAGTTACAGTAGCTGCTTCTTCCCCTAAAGATTCAGCAGCTTCTCTCACTTGCTCGCTCTCCCTCCAGGGACAGGGCTAGGTAGCAGAGCCATTCACAGCAACTCCCATGCAGGACCAAGCATGCTCCAGCCCTTCTCCCCTGGCCTTGCTGAGCCTTGCACAGGCAGCACAACTGCTCTTCCACGGCCCAGGATGGCCAGCAGGTCACCCTGGTGCTCAGAGAAAAGAGCCTGGCCGCCTACCCGGCGGCTCGGTGCCCCACATGGGCACATGTCTTCCCTTTGACACTTGAGTTGTTTCTCCACCTTGCATCAGACACAGAAATTCAGAAAAGCGCTGGCTGGAGCTGCAGGGGGATGCGGGGAAAGACCCAGCCACCTTCCCCTGGGTGTACGGAGTCCGCAAGCAGTGCGAGGGGCTAAGAAGAGAATGTGGGGCTAGGCTGGCCACGGAGCACCCCCAGGAGCTCTCCTGGGCATCCCAACCGACCACCTCAGCTGTGCGAGGGCAGCCGCCGGGGGGGGCAGAGCCCGACAGGCTGCAAATCTGCCAGGCAGCCCAGCGAGGAGGCACTGAGGGCTCACTGTAGTGCATACGAGGAGGACAGGGCCACCATCGGCCGCAGGCTGTGCCCTTGACCTCCCAAGAGGGAAGGGCCCGCTGGCCCAACCAAGAGATGCACGTGCAAGCTGGCCACTCGCCCCCCTCCTCGCTGTCCAGAGCCCAGGGTTGAGCTGCTGCGGCCAAGGACCCGTCACCCCCACAAAGGCACATTGCTGAGGCCGGCGGCACAGCCTCTGCTCCGAGCTGCGTCCGCACCACGGCTCGGGGTCCGAGCTGAGCCCCACGCAGAGCAAGGTGACTCGGAGCACCCAGGAGGAGCCAGAGCCTCCAGCTGGGCATGGCCCGCGGTACTTATTTACGGCGCAGAGCGATCCTGCCCTCAAGAGACACGTTTTCTTTGGCTGGCATGGGACGAGCACAGCTACCGCGGCATCCAAACGCCCCCCAAGCCCTGCACGGCCCCAGCACAGCTCCAGCCCAGGTGGGTCCTGCAGCCCCACGTGCATTCCTCTGTCTCTGTGTGTGTGTGTGTGTGTGGGTGGGTGGGTGCGTGTGTGTGTGCATGTGTGGATGAAGGAAACGTGAAAAGGCAACAATAAATAACTGGTGCAGTCTGTACGAGAAGGAATTGCCACCAGCCCCCGGCACTGGCAGGACAAGCCAGGGACAGCACAAGGCCGGCAGCAGAGGCCTCTCAGTCACTCTTGGCGCTGTGCGAGGTGTCCAAGTTGACCACCTGCAGCTCCGTCAGGCTGCTGCCACTGCTGCTCTGCTGCCCGATGACAGCCATCTAGAGAGAAAAGGGAGGAGGAAGCACTGGGGGATAGCATACCCTGAGACCACACGTGCCAGCAGCCAGGGTGGCACTGTCCTCTCTGGGCACCCATCCAAGGAGGAGGGCAAGACTTCTTCACCCAAGGGTGCGTGGCACTGACAACTTTCCCAAACCTGAGGACTGGCCCTACTCAAGGGCCTGGGTCTACCCAGGCTCACAAAGGATGTGCAGGCAGGGGCAGAGCAAGTACACCCCCTGAACCCGTGCAAGTACCCCTCTTCGCCTACCTGGTGAAGCTGGACAGCTGAGACTGGGATCTGAACGGTGCCTGATGGGGCTGTCAGGAACACTTGGGGGACGCCACCTGCCAGAGAGAGAGAGAGCACAAATGACACCATCCCTTAAACAGTGCTCCCCCATGGGTCCTTTCTCTGAGCTCCATCGAGATTCACAAGGATGAAGATGCCTCTTTGCATGCGTGGAGGCATCCCAGGAGAAAGCCACATGCACGAGCTTTCCAAATGCTGGGAGAAGCAGGCACAGGCTCTCAATCCAAATCACACAAAACAGCAGGGCTTCATGCTGCTTTGCCCCCTCGTGCAATCACACGTCCTCTCCAGAGCCTCCTAGCTCCCTTCTCTGCCTGCCCCATATGCCATCCATCAGGATAACCCTCACCCTTTTTCCCCAGCACACAGCTCAAGCAATCCCTCGCCCAGGAGAAGAGCAGGATCTAAAAGCGTGCATCAAGCATCCCCCTTGCCATGCTGTTGTACAGCCACTAGGACTGCTCGGAAGAAAATTCTTTTCAATTAATACACAGCACAAATGCAGGTGAGAAGGAGGAAAATCGGGGCGTCAGAGGAGCATTGACAAGACAGCTGTCTTACCCTGATCCTGGACCTGGCCGTGGGACACCTGCATCGCTGAGGGCGCCTGTGAAAAAGCGTTGAGGACTGCAAGTCCACCGTCCGCAAGGCCAGATGTGGGCGCGTACATCACCGCATGTGGGCTGGGGTACATCATGTGGCCACCCACAGTGGTTGGCACAGACGACGTCATGATGGTCGCCGGGAGGGTCACTGGCACCAGGACAGACTACACGTGAGCCACAGGAAAGGAGTCTGCTGCGCTCGCACGCCTGCTCGGCATCCCTCCCTCAGCCACCCCTGGGCACGCCATCCCGAAGCAGCAGGTGCATGGCAATGCCCATCTTGCTCTACCAAGCTCTTGGGGAAAAAGCCCCAGGGAACAGGCAGGGAGAGCTCAAACCTCTCCTTCCCTGAGTGAGTATGAGAGGGCAGAAAAGCACGGCAGCCGAATATCCCAAGACTGAATTCAACTCGAGATACGAGTTTCCTCATGAAGCTTTAATAACTTGGTTGAACTGGATTCAGCCTGGATTCACTTGGCACCTCAACTCAGATTTTGCTGACATGAGGTGTCCTCTGCATATACAGTAAAAATCTCAAGTAGATTTGTGCTAGGGGCAATGATGGCTCACTAAGAAACCATCTGAGAACCAGGCAACCTGTTCCCAGCTCCGTGCTGCAAGTAAGAGCAGATGATGTATCTGGAGAGGCTCTGAAATCCCTTGTAAGGTGCCCTGTGCACAGCAGCATCTACCTAGACACAGGGGCTGGCAACAAGCATAAATACACCTAGGAAACCGTCAGAAAAGCTGGGGTAGAGTTGGTCTGAAGAAGGATTTTGGGGAGGGAGGAGGCGTGAGGTCTGTCGGTGGGGGAAGGAACATGGTTTACCGTAATGTCCCAATTACCTGTTCCGCTGGAAGAGGTCTGGGTAAGGTCAGTGCTGCTGTCACTAGAGGGAGACGTTTGCTGCGGTGCCTGGTGCACCTGGATTGCCTGGACTGGGACCTGCTGAGCCATGGTACCACCTGCAGGGAGAGAGGAACCCATCAGCCTGGGGCTCAGCCAGGATACAGGCACTCTGGGCCATGCGGAAGCCCCCTAAGTCCCTCTCTCTGGCTGCACAGCGTGGCTCCACACTGCGTTGGGGAAGACTAGCCCCAAGCAGCACGTAGCAGAAACCAGGCCCTGCCCCAAAGAGCAGGCTAAAACCTGCTCTTCCCAGGCACACAGGGGCCAAGGAGGCGTTAGCTGGCCTACGGGGCTCCAGAGAGAAAAGGAAAGGCCACAGCAGCTTTTTTTCCAGCTTCCAGGCATGGTTCAGGAATGCCTGGGGCTCTCCTCACCATTCCTGGCTCCACCAAGACACAGGGTACAGATGGTGTTGGGAGGAGGGGGCCCAACACATGCCCCCAGCGCTGCCCATGCTCAGCCAGCCCTTGCAAGGATCATCTCAATGCACAGAGAGGAACTACGAGAGCCCAAGTGACCAGGCCAGCTGGACCCCGCTGCCTTCACACTCTAGAGCCCAGCTCCATCCTCCACAGGGCACTCAGGGAACAGCTATTTCAGGCATCTTGTGGTCTCCAGGACATCACAGTGCCCTGCACGGGGATTAGAGACCACCGGGTGCCGAGGTGTGCACCCCAGAACTGCAGGGTCATGTCCCCACAGCCTCCGGCAAAGCTCTTCAGCTCCAGGGACAGAGCTTGGCACAGAAAGCTCCCCTTCAGGTGCAGGTCCTGCCTCCAGAGGAAAGAGCAAGGGATGCCAGAGGCCAGGAACCACCAGCCACCTCACTCAGACTTGGGCATCTCCCCACACACCACACCACAGAGACACATTCATCACTCTCTCAGCTCCTCCAGATCACAAGGAAAAAATCCCATCCCCTTGCACGGGCCCCCTCGAGCCATAAGGGCTCCAAGAAAGTGTGCAGGCTGTCAGACTCATCGACTTGGGCACAAACTTGGGCAGGCCACAAGAAATCCTGTCTCACTCTCAGAGCTGGTCCCCAGATGATGGCTACCCCCACGAAGTAGAGCCTAGCCCTCCTGGCTATCTCCAGCCAGGAGCATGCCCAGCCCCAGTACAACACCTGGGGATCCTTGACTCAGCCACAACAAGGAATTCCTACAAAGGACAACACACACGAGGCAGCGCAGCAGCACCGCTCCCTCCTCCACTCTGGGTCTCTCCTAATCTATCCTCAGCACTGTGGTTCAGTGACCAACGGCAGATCCAAATACAAAAGCAAGGGCAGCTGCTCAGAGCCAAATACCAGCACTCGAAAAAAAGCATCTAAGCCCCCGCCGGCCTCCTTCCCGGCAGCACAGTTCAGCCTCAGCACAGCTGCCCCAGGGATCTGCCTCCTCTGCGTTTGCTAACTGCAGGGCAAACCCTGGGGCAGGAGACTGACAACCCGCTGCTTCCCTCGGTCTGTGTCCCCCCCGGATGCTGCCCCTGCCTCTACTCCAAGCACTCTCTGCTCCTGTCTTCCCATCTCTCCCCTTCTCTCGGCCAGGGTGCTCTGCCTCCTCTGCGCTCCCCACCTCAGCTGGGGGTCAGCTCTCGAACCCCACAGACGCCTCCATCCCCCCCACCTCAAGGCAAGCCGGAGGAGAAGCGAGTGGCTGACCTGTCAGCGACACGATCTGCCCTCCAGCTCTGGCGGGGAAGCGGAAGACTGTCTGTTGTGCCTGCTGCGGCTGTCCAGCTGTACCCGCCACCACCTGGCCCTGCTGGCTGGAAAGAGCCAGGGAGTGCGGCTGTAACTGAGTGAGAGGAATGGTAGGGGTCCCCGGAGAAAGGGAAGCACCTGCCGAAAGGAGGGAGAAAGAAAGGCTTTGTCACTACCAGCTCTTTTCACTCCCTCCAGGCTTCTCGGTGCTGCCCTGGGGTCCCAGCTCAGCTCCCTGCCACCAACGCCCTTCCCAGCAGCAGGGCCAGCTAGCAGCACCCTAAGGAAAGTCACTACACGACCCTTCTCCAGGCACTGGCCTGGCTGGGCTCGAGCAAGGAACCCCAGCCAAGCTCACCCTACAGCAGCAACACTTTGTTTCCTCCTGCCACTAGGTCTCCTCTCCTCCGAAGAAGGCAGCAACACACTCCAGGTGCAGAGAGGGATGGATGTAGCCCTCATCCCCCTCGAGGCACTGACCTGACATGAGGGTGAAGCCGGTGGGTATCGGCATGAGGCCCCCAGACGTCACTGCACTGGCTCCAGTAGTCTTCAGCACTGTCCCGTTGGCACTGGTGACGGCATTGGGGCTGATGCTGGCAGACACTGGCGCCAGGTAATTGGTGATGGGGAATGACGGGCCACTGCTGACCTGCATGGAGGTCGAGGTGGTGGGGGCTGTCTGGATGGTGGACGTTGTCCCCGGCAGGTTGGTGACAGTGAACGCTGGTTTCAGTACGTCCTGGGGAAGGAGAGATTTTGTGACAACTCGGACCAGCCCTTGGATCTGATCGACATCTGCCCATGAGACCCAACCAGGCTGCAGAGGTTGCTACACCATACCCTCACAGCCCTGCTGCCAGCACGTGGAGCAGAGCCAGGGCAGCAGAGAGGAGTTACTTGTACAAACACGAGGAGACCGTGCCCAACAACGCAGCATGAGGAGAACTGGAGAGAGCTCAGCGTAAACCTTGGATACGAGCCCAGGGCCACACAGGTCCCCTGAGAGACTTTCCCTGCAAGACAACAGGGGACGAAGCAACCCTTCCCCCTCCCCGGGAGTCCCCCCACGGGCTCCAAGAAGGAGAGAACAGCCTCTTTTTTGGCACACGCCAGGCGAAAGCAGCCTTTGCAGGGAGAGACGTAAAGGCAAACACAGTGTCTCCTGTCAGGAACACACAACCACTTCCCGTATGGCAGGAAACACATGGCCAAGAATTAGCCAAGAACTGGCTCTTAAAGACAGCTCTACACTGAGCAGCAAGGGAGAGGTGGGCAAGGCCAAACCCGGACACCAGGGAAGGCCCCAGCCCAGTTGCTTCAAAAGACCCTGGGAACACTTCCACAAACCTCCTGGAGCAAAGGGGAAGCACCCATTTCCCAGCCCACTAGCAGGAGGTGGGCATGAGGTAAATGCTTCCAAGGGACCCTTCATGTTGGCTACAGCCAACACGCACTGCGGTCCTGCAAGGAGCACTGGAGCTCCATGCCTGCCTGAGGACAGAATCACCAGTCAGGTTGAGCATCAAGAGGAAGAAAGTCCTGCGCTGGGCCAATGCTAGCCTGAGGTACTGGCCTCCGGGGCCTGGGAACAAGGGAGGAACGTGTATGCCAGGCTGCAGGGCATGTCACACCCCGGTTTCCACAGCCACAAAGCACGTGGCTGGACGTGGCTTGGATCTGGAGGAGCCAACCAAGCCTGGCATGATCCCTACTGCCCCTGGCAGCAACACTGCACTGGTGAGGCCTCACCTCGAGGGCTGGGTTCAGTTCTGGGCCCCTCACTACAAGAAGGACATTGAGGTGCTGGAGCGTGTCCAGAGGAGAGCCACCAAGCTGATGAGGGGTCTGGAGAACAAGTCCTACAAGGAGAGGCTGAGGGATCTGGGCATGTTTAGTTTGGAGAAGAGGAGGCTAAGGGGAGACCTCATTGCTCTCTACAACTCCCTGAAAGGAGTTGTGGAGAGGTGGGGGTTGGCCTTTTCTCCCAAGGGAATAAGGACAGGAGCAGAGGAAATGGTCTGAAGTTGGGGCAGGGGAGGGTTAGATGAGATACTGGGAAGAATGACTTTGCTGAGAGGGTGGTCAGGCACTGGAAGAGCCTGCCCAGGGAGGTGGTGGAGTCACCATCCCTGGAGGTATCTAATAAACGTGTAGACATGGCACTTCAGGGCATGCTCTAGTGCCTGAGATTTTGGTGGTTTGTGTCTGTCTGTGGGTGGGTGTGGTGTGGGTTTTTGTTTTTGGTTGGGTTTGGTTTTTTGGTGGTTTTTTTTTTTTTGTGGTTGGACTCGATGATCTCAAAGTCAGGAACCTTCCAACCATGAAGATCCTGTCATTCAGTTTTTTGGTGGTTTTTTTTTTTTTTGTGGTTGGACTCAATGATCTCAAAGTCAGGAACCTTCCAACCATGAAGATCCTGTCATTCTGCGATTTCACCTAACACGCTTCCTTCCCCCACATCATCCCCTTTTGGATAGCCAGGTTTTCTCCGTGCCCCCTTCTCTCAGCTTGGCCAAGAGCAGACTGCAAAACCCACTGCTCCCCAGGAGACCATGCCAGAGGAGACCACGCCAGAGGCCACAAAGGGGACCTGCTGTCCCCCTGCCCTGCCATGGCTGCCAGCACGCCTGGGAAGAGTTAAGGCCGCCACTCTCCCACCCCTCCCCGCTGCAGGCTGGTGGGCCCAGCTTCTCTCCCACGTGCTAAGCCTTGTTCCCAGCTTGTCAAGCTGCCAGGAACGAGGAATTCACAGCTCAACCAACAGCTAAAAAAGGGAAGGCAGCCCATTTTGGACAGGGGGAGCCAATCCCGGGGCACTCAGCCGTGCCCCAGGGCCCCGGGGGAGGGAGGAGAGCAACGCCCCTCCGCCTTGGCACCGGCCTCCCTCAAGTCCGAATTAGAAGAGGCACGTGATAACGGAGCAGAGCCCAGCAGAGGCACTTTCCATTAGCTCAACCACAAACTCCTGCCACCCCACATGGGACACAAGAGGCTGTGGGTGCTCTTCCCATGTGGGTGACAGGGCAGAGCTCCCCACCCCGGCCCACTAGGCCATGGGAGCCATAGCAATGCAGGGTGGGTCCTGTTCCCAGCTGGAAAGGCCAGGCTCCCTCATAGAATCTTCATGGTTGGAAGGGACCTTTGAGATCATCGAGTGCAACTACAGAAAAAACCAACCAACCAACCAAATAAAAAAAACCACCCCACAAACAGACACAACCCAACAATCTTGGCCCTGAAGAGCCATGTCTACACATTTTTTAGATACCTCCAGGGATGGCGACTCCACCACCTCCCTGGGCAGGCTCTTCCAGTGCCTGACCACCCTCTCAGCAAAGTCATTCTTCCCAGTATCTCATCTAAACCTCCCCTGCCCCAACTTCAGACCATTTCCTCTGCTCCTGGCATTATTCCCTTGGGAGAAAAAGCCAACCCCCACCTCTCCACAACCTTCTTCCAGGGAGTTACAGAGGGCAATGAGGTCTCCCCTCAGCCTGATCTTCTCCAAACTAAACATGCCCAGGCATAGCCATGAAGCCCTGAGATATAGCCCCCAAGCAGCCAAGGCACTTGGCATCCCCCCACACTCTGTACTCTCAGGGCTGAAAGGGGCCTCCCAAAAAGATTGACAGCACCCTACTCAGGGGGATCCCCAGGACTCTCTCAAAGCACAAGGGCAAACCTCAGTATCCCCTGATACTACGAGGGCAAACCTCACAGTATGACCTGTGCATGTGTGGGAGGGAAGCTGTGCCAGCAGGCTTGAACCCCATCTCTGCTCTCCCTACCCTGCCACAGGCAAGACTCTGGGATTCTTCCCACTCTTTGCTGTGTTTCTCATGAGCTCCAGCAAGAGCTCCCGGTACAGAAAGAGAACTGGGAGAGACCTTGGGATTAGACACCCATTGTCTTCTCCCCATGCCTATCCAGGACGTCTCAGAGCCCCTAAGCACCTTGTTCCCACACCAGCACCCTACACGTGTGAGGCCAGCCTTCAATAGGAACCAAGTCATGGGTCACCTTCAGCAGAGACTACCCACGAGGCCACGGAGAAGACCCCGAGGCAGCACAGCAGCCCTCTAGTCCCTTCCCTTCCTGATCCAGCTGCACATCCATTCCCCACCATAGCTCACTGCAAACTTCAGCTTGCAGAGCAACCCCCCAGGGAACCGAGGCTCAGCAGAGGTGCAGCATAGCAGCAGGAGATGTCTGCACAGACCCACACCACTGTGCACACTTGATAAATGTTATACAGAGTGAGTGGATGACAGGGCACGGCCCCAGGCTATCAAGCATTGGAATGGGCTGTCCAGGGAAGGGGTTGAGGCACCATCCCTAGAGGTGTTCAAAACATGGGTTGACATGGTGCTGTGGGACACAGTTTAGTGATGCTTTTTTTGTCAGAGTTAGGTTGATGGTTGGACTAGATGATCTTGAAGGTCCCTTCCAACCTAAATGATTCTATGATCCGATGCCCATCCTGGACCATAGCAGAGTCTTGGGGACAGAAATAATCCCACCCCGCAGCTTCTGGGGGCCACCTGGGACAACGCTGTTCAGCACGGCCCAAACTCACCAGCCAGCACCATTATGCAGACGCTGCAGGACAACTGGCCTCGGTGGTACATGAGGAATCCCAATCCGGTCTCCAACACCTGGCCTGCCTTCCAGATGTGGCAGGAAGTCCCACCTTTTCCCCACCCCGAGAAATGCCAGATCAGGACTACCCCTATGCTCTCATCCCAATCTAGAGCCTCCGAGCTTCCTCCCAAATCCCCTCTCCCCCATAACTGAACCTAGGAGACTACATGAGAGCGCCGTGTCCTTTGAGGCCCGCAAAAGACCAGACAGGCCAGTGCCACGACAGTATCACGGTGAGGCTACAGCTGCCGTCTTGAAAGTACAGTGTGCCCCAGTCCCAGCCTGAGCTCACCTCCACAGCAGGGAGTGTGGGTTTGGTGCAGCAGGAGGACCTCCTCGCTGCTGCTGGCTGCGAGCGCAGAGGAACACCAGCCTGGCTGCCTCGCTTCCCCCTCTGCTGCAGCAGCTGAACACAAGCAGGTTTTGTCCATAGCGAGAAGTCCATGAGGCAGAGCTCACAGGAAGGCCAGGGAGCAACTGCCCCAACCCCTCTCAGAGCAGCCTATGTGGCTGGACCTGACAGTCCAGGTACTTAATTCCCTGCCACCTGTCACCCAGCCCTGCGTACCACCCACCCCTCAGCAAGGATGCCAGCCGGCTCGCATGGCCCACCCACAGGCTCCATTCATCCTCAGAGGGCTTCTTGGTCAATCTGAATATTATGGTGAGGGTGATGGAGCCCTGGAACAGGCTGCCCAGGGAGGTCGTGGAGTCCCCTTCTCTGGAGATCTTCAAGACCCGCCTGGATGCCGTCCTGAGTGATGTGCTCTGGGCAATCCTGCTTTAGCAGGGGAGTTGGACCAGATGATCTCTAGAGGTCCCTTCCAACTCTGACAATTCCGTGATTCTGTGAATCGGGCCAATCTCTGTCCGAGCACCAAACAAGGCTTCCAGCCCTGGAGAAGGCACAGCAGGACTGGGAAAGGTCAGGGTGGCACCGTCCCCAGCCCCAGGGCTTACCATGACAAGAAGTCTCAGCAGGCCAGGGGTGGGTTTGTTGAAGAATGTCAAGAAGAAGACAGGGCCACAAGGCTGCTCCAGCCCCGCACCCAAGGCTGGCTGTGGGCACAAGGCACCCCACTCTAACCATTACCACTCACTCCTGAGTACTGGGATGGAGCTTGCAGGGCACTGAGGTGGGGGTTTGCATCAGAAAGCGGGCAGGCAGGAGTTGTGTTAAGATCTCCTCCACAGAGTAGCTGCACCCCAACAGCACACTTCCCTTTGGGGCCACTCAGCAGTATTTTCAGGGAAAAATCTTAAAGGGACATGATGTGGACAAGCCCCATGGCAAGGACAGGTCAGCTGCCAGGCACAGCGCTTCCTGAGCCTTCAAATAACTCCCAGGCACAGGTAATTTATCTCATTACAGAACGCCCACGGGACTTACTTGCCTTTTCATCCGGGAGAAGCCCAAGAGACATAAGTCCTTACAAACCCAGGCTGCACAAAGGAGAAATTGCTGGTGACAATGGGGTCCTTTGCCTGCTGGAAGGGGCTGGCACAGCTCACACGAGGAGGCACCCAGGGGAGTCATGCCAGACTGAGACAGCCAGGACTCTTGTTGGGCTCCCACCAGCGGGAAGCCCTCCTGGGGACTCTTCCAGGCTCCAGCAAAGAGCTCTCCCAGCCAGCAATACCTTGGCCCACCACAGCTCCTCTGCCTGCAGGGATCTCTGGGGCTGCTGGTGTTTCTCAGGGCTCAGCAGCGATAAGCTTTTGCTCGGTGCAGCGCTGGACACACGTGGGGAAGAGGGCATGGAGGAACAGTGACTGCCAGATACCCCAGCAGCACCGTGACCAGAGCTGTGGGGCTGCCACGGGACACAAACACGCAGGCAAACACCCCTGTAGCCCCAGACAACATGAGGGGCACATCTCAGGGCTGCACTCCCTGCCGTTGGGATTACAGCACAAGAGATCTCAAACGCTCTTCTCCAGGTTCTGTCTGCTTGATAGTCCATCTGTTCCCTCAATAGTCCCCTCAAGTTCTGCCTGCTTTTAATCCCTCACTACAACAAGGACACTGAAGTGCTGGAGCGTGTCCAGAGGAGAGCCACCAAGCTGGTGAGGAGTCTGGAGAACAAGTCATACGAGGAGAGGCTGA